TGCATACCTGATCTGGCCTCCATGTTACTTCAGGCCCACAGCAAAGTTGTTGACTCTTAACTGCCCTCTGAACTGGCACTAGCAAGCCAGTCAGTTCAAGTAGCAATGAGGGGTGAGCAATAAATGTTGGCCCAGTCAATGATGTTGACATTCTATGGATGAATTTTAAAAAAGGCCACACACAACCCTGTCTTGGAAGTATATCACCTTTCCTTCACTGAGTCAAAGAACCGAAACTCCCATTCTAGCAGCACTAGGGGGTCCCCACACTCCAATGACAGCAGCAGTTCAAGTAGGCAGTTCATCACCACATTTTCCAAGGCATTTAGAGTGATTTACATGGACTTTGGTTAGGTTTTTTGAAAAGATCCCACATAGCAGACTGTAAAGAAACTAAGAACCCATGGGATCCAAAGAAAGTGGCACATTGGATCCAAAAGTGGCTGATCACTATTCTAGCTAAAGTTCTTGTTGAAAGATGAAGAAATGACAAGAGTGTGGGAAGGGGACCCAGGATAATTATCAACGTGCATATTATGAAACTGTTCTGATGAGTTTTATCTAAAATATATTTCTTTTCTATATTTTCTATATTTCTGATCCAGTGTATATTTTAAGCATTTCACAGAGAATATTAGAGAAACTTATTTGTTTAAACTGCTTGTCACTATTCACATGGCTGAGAGCTACAATTCTCAATAAGGCAAAACTTTCTGATAGTTCAGACACTTTTTCAGGATGTGTACTTGCATTCAGGTGGCTGAATCCTATATAACAATGTGGCTGGTGAATGAAATTTTTGTAACGTTGTAAGTGCAAAACTCACTGAGTTCTCAAATGTCTTGCCCTGAAGGTTTAATTCATCTCTTTGACAGCACAGCACAACATCAATCATAAAGGAGAGTTATAAAATAATTCTGTGGAACAGTTCCACACATTTTATTAACTCTGTATTTTCAGAAAATGAATATGTCAACTCATCAAAATTAACCTGGGGCAAACATTAATCACCTTTCCCTTTCGATAAGATGAACTGCAAAAACCTTATATAAAAACCTTCAGGTTGTGGGATGAAAAGCTGTTTGTATTTGTTTCATGGACATTGGCTCAGTTACACTTAAAAGAGGCTCTAAGTAATTTATTCTTAAAAGTCTTAAGTCTTGATTTTGTAAAGGCCATGTCTGGTGTGAATGGGTGTGACATCTCCTTAGCCCTACAAGTTTACCCCCCTATAATTATTTTTGTGAGGTTGACCTACAGGTTGTATTATAATGAAATTTGGCACTGTAAACCTGACCAATAATTTGATTAACTCAAGAGTGGGCAATGTGCATGATAGCTAAATGGATACTTCTTCCACTAAAGCAAAAAGAATACTTGGTGTGACCAAACTTTGACTTCAAGAACACTCAATAATTGTAGAAAAATAATTGTTAGATCAACATGGAACATTTGGAAATAGGAATGTATGGAAAATCTTCCATCGAGAATGTTTCAGAAGCTTTGTGGCATTCTTACATTTTTACTCCTCTTTATATTGCTAGGTCAAGTTAAACTTATCTTCAATATATAATGTTTAAAGATGTGATTCACACAGGAGATGGTGTGGAATGCGCAGGTGACGTGGATGAATGACCAAAATGTTTGTTTTAAACTACACATTGCATCTCAATGACAATGTCATAGCCAGTATATGAGAAGCTCAGTACAAAACAAATTAAGTCTAATTAAAAAGTTGGTGATGGCCCCTGGCTGAAGTATTAACTTAAGAGAAAAGCATGTCATGGGAGATAAATATGAAGGCACATATAAGAGTCTAGAATGTCATTTCTGGGGAGACAAGTAGAGCCAATCCTTTAATGCTGAATACGCCAATACTTAGGATGAATCAAAGAATGAATGCTGTGTTACTAATGACAAATGTACAATACTTATTGAGAAGTATGCTGAATGTATTTCACCTTTCATGGTAAATAACAAGGAAGCAAACTTTATAATTAATACCAATTTACATTTGTCAAAGAAAATGCCGTAGTTACTTAAAATTTATATTCATTTATGTATAATGAAGAAACTTTGTATAATGAAATTGAAGGAGCAAATCTTCGGTCATATGAGCATACAAATTAAAAGGAGAAGAAGGCCATTTGGTCTTTCAAGCCGGCTTCACCACATGGCCTCAACTCCAATTTTCTGCATAATCCCAATGCCCTTTGTTTCCCTTGACAATCAACATACCCAATTCAGCCTTAAAAATGTTTAATGACTCAGCCTCTGCTACTGTCTGGTCAACAGAATTCTGTAGGCAAATGGCTGCGTGAGAGAAAAAGGAAAGTCCTCATCTCCATGTTAAATGGGAGAACCTTTATTTTAAACTGTGCCCCCTAGTCCTACTCTGTCCTATGGGAAAATGTCCTCTCAGCATCTACTCTGTCAATTTCCTTCAGGATCTTATATGTTTTAATAAAGTGTGATTACAGTAGTCAAGTGAAAGAGTGAGAATATATTCCAATTACAGAAATTTAAATAAATCCTTTGAATAACATTTTCTGTAGACTAAAGAATCACCAGCCTGACCATACCCGCACGGCACATTCTCGATCCATTTACAATAAGGTTCTGCATTTCCGTGCTGCACTTTGGAGTGCACCAGTACCATTCTTTGTAATGCTACTGTCAGAATATTTTACACTTGAGGGGGCAGGCACCTAAATCATGGATTAAACCAGGGTGCATCTCAGGGCTCCTCATTTGCTGTCTTAGTGCCCATTCACTTTGCATCTATTTGGATGCTCACAGTATTTCTGCCTTGTCTTGCCTTTTTGCTCTTTGTCACTTCAGCCATAGTTTAAAGGCTCAAAGTACTTCTGTTTTGCCTTACTGAATAGCACAGATCAAAGCCAGGCAGCTTGTTATAATTGTCAGTAATAATCAGTCAAAACATGAACATGCTACTATATAGCACTAAGCTATGCAACATATGCAGCAAACACACTGCATGTACTTGAACCAAATGGCCACATCTCAACTCTGTGAGGAGTAGTTCAGAGTCAAACCAAGAGAGACAGCTTTCAGTCAGGGGTTCCTGAGATTAAAGGCATCATCCATTATTAATCCAAGAGCTTGGACAAGTCCGACAGTTGCTTGGTCGGGCTCAGAGGTCCATGTCTCTATTGTCTGGAGTGTAGACCATGATCAACCTGCAAGTCCAGCAGAATCAGTCCAGGGATTTGCAGTAAATTAATCAGGGATTGCGCACATATCAGTCAGGGGTCTGGTCAGTCATCAATTAGGTCAGAAGTGGGGTTATCAGGGGCCATTCCTGTGGTGGGGAAGTCAGTTGTGGATATAGGGAACAATAGTTGTAAAAGGGGCAGCTCAACATATAGGGAGATGACAAAGCATTGGAGGACATGGGTCACTGCAGGGGTGGTGAGGGTTGGCATCAGCTAAGGTCATGCAGCTTGGTTCCTAAATAGCAATATATTTATGAATCTGCACTTGTATTTGCAATGACATGTGAGCCGTGCTACTGATATGCCCTGAGAAAATTTATTTTTGGTTTCCCCTCTCACTAAATGACTGGTGAATGGCAACTCCTAGATGGCAGTTCTTGACCTGATACACTGCTGGGCTTTAAAAATAATGCCAGCACTGGGAATCTTGGGAGGTCCTGGTAGTGATGAGTACTTCTATCATTGTCAAGAGAAAGCTGTGAAGAGTGGGGCACCATAGAAGTATGGTGCATAGGTAATGAAGTGAGTTGCAGAGAATAGCTTGAAAAGTCTCATTAGCACTCACAGAAAGAAACCCTTCATGAATCTCACCAAAATTGACACTTTGTTGCTTTCTGGTAAAATTCTGCCCAGTGGAACGGAATAGAACATTCAACTCCTCCTGCCTGTTTTGACATTCAGTTAGATCATTGCTGATCTGCAACTTGACTCCATTGACGTGCCTTGTTTTGCAAGCATTAATACTTTCAGCATATCTATTTAAAACTATATTGTTTTAAAATTTTCAATTAATCCAGCTTAATGGTTATAGTGGGAGAGAGTCCTGGGTTTACAATATCCTTTTAGTGAAGAAGTGCTTTCCGATATCACTCCTGAATAGCATAAATTCAATTTTAACACAATCACTTTGCTCTGAACTTCACACTAGAGAAAGTAGTTTATTTTTATTTACCCTATCATCTCTACCATAAATACCACAGTTTAACCATCCGTTAATTTGGAAACTCAAAGGTGTACATGCAAAGTTTATTCAGCCTGCCCCCATAACTTAATTATTTTACCACCATTATCATTCTAGTGAATCTGTGCTCCCTCCAAGGTCAGTACATCCTTCCTGAAATATGGTGTCCAGAACTAAATGCAATACTCCAGATATCATCCAATCAAATCTTGACATAACTGCAACATAATATCCATGTTTTGTGTTCCAGTCTTCTGGAGATAAAGGCCAACATTCCATTCACTTTTTAAGTTATTTTTGTGATTTCCACTGGCTTTTACTGATTTCTGTGTTTGAACCTCTAAATTTCTACTCCTCCATAGTTCCATTTAGAAAATACATTGATCTGTCTTTCAAAGTGAGATGATCTCTTATATCTATGAAAGTTCTGTTATGTTTATTTTTAATTTGTGTCCTCTTCCAGTTCTTCTGCACCATGGGCCAGCCCCAAGTCAGGTAGAAGGCCTGCTTCACCCTTCATCAAGGTTATGGTAATAGTAGCCAATAGAGATTGGGGACCTGTATTCTTGGGTCTTTTTTCACTCCCTGTGTAAAAGTTAGTTGGCTACTAAACCACCCCCTACGGCTGAGTGGGTGAGATTAATAACAAGCTCGATTCCAAAATATTGCCCTGAAAGAATGAACATTAATTGTATACATTTATTTTGTTATAGTTTTCATCTTATGATATCTCATTTAGTGTAATATTGTGTAAGTTTTTAATTTTTTTTATCAACAATTGGTTGTATTTTTGCTTTTAACAGAAGAAGTACCTAGAACTCCTGTTGAGGATACAGATCCTAGTGTTCCTTCAGAAACGGTATGACTTGCTGCCTTGCATTACACATTTTATGAATCATGATTGTTCTGCTTACTTCATTTACTCACTCTGATTTTAAATTTTCATATTCTTTAATTTTTGTAGTAAATATGACACACCACTTTGCAAATACAATTTGCATATTGAATATTGTACTTATTTCAGGTGCATTTTTACACTTGTGAAGCAAGAGTATAAATAGTATATTCCTACCATTTTGCAATAGTGAACATTCTCATTAGCTAAAATCAATGGTGCAACATTTGTTTTTTAAATACATCTTCAATGCTTGATGTGATAACAATCCACAGTCAGGCATCACAGCTTTTACTCTTTTAAACAACGTTGGAATTCCTCCTACATTTCCCTTTTTCACTTCATCCAAATATAATGCATCCAGCTTTTGCCAGAAGTATCTTCAGCTGTTTATGAGGAGCTGTGTGACAATAACCATGTCCATTTTGATTGAGCTCCCTCCCCCAATCCCTACCTGTCTCTCACCTTTCGTGGTTTGCATTGCCCTTGCAGGCAAATTAATCAATTGGAAAACATGGATGATTTACTGATAGTGGTTAATAAATGAAAGATAATAACACGGGTGATTGGTGATGGGAAAAAAAAGTTCAGTTGTGTGTAAGACCACTGCTGGATGTAATTGAAAATAACCACTTGACTGAATTGTCCATAATTTTTCCCCTTCGTGTTTTATGGACATGTACAGTAAGTTTCTACAGTGGCACAGATTAGTTCAGAATTTAAGGGGTGTGAATGGGAAGTTGAAACTAAGTTTGTTCCAATTTTGTTGTATGCAATTTGGCTGCCAGGTTTGCTACAAAACCACAATGACCACTTGAAGAGTAACCTATGTAGAATGCTTTGAGAACAACTTGAGGATATGAAAGATCCTATATGAATGCAAATTTTTCATTACTACACAAAAAAAATTAAGGTCAAGACTCGTATTCACGATTTTAGTCTGTTTGCAGTATATCCTTTGATCAGCTTTCTCTACTATTTGAAGACTTGTTGCTTGGATCATTGTACCCATTGCAGCAGAGGCTCCTAGTTCTAATAATACATACACTGCAAGAGATGAATGATTTGAAAGACAGAATTTATTGGATTCTCTCTCTCAAAATCCTCTAGCAGCCTTTACAGGATTAACACGTCACTACTGGGGAGGAGTTGTGACTGGGCAAATTCACATTTTGTTTCCTATCCATGTAGTGTATCCACTGTCCTGATTTTAGGAAAGTTTGCCCTACAGTTCAAACCTTGCCATTTCAATGCTGTTTGAACCCAGTGTGATGACAAAAGTATAGCCAGTATTTTTATGGTAAAACCTTAACCACTGTTTTGATAAGGAGGAAGTTTCCAGAAGGTACATTTTCGTACCTCCGCCACCTGAGGAGTTGGTGGAGAACACATCCCTGAAGATCACAGCAACCCCACAGCCATTTAACACACCAAGGAGTTTCAATTTGCTGGAAATGTGTCTATTGCCCACATTCTGGTGAATAGCTGGCAGTTCGACAGCAGCAGCAAGGGTCACAATGACCAGGACTGGGACTATAAGCAGTCCTCAGATTTTAAATCTCAGAGTCTCGGACCAACTAACTGTGTTGGAATGGGAGTCTTATAGCAGGGGAGAGAGGTAAGGACTGGGGTTTTAGGAATATGTAATATTGAAGTCCTGATGGGGAGTCCAGGGAGGAAATGAGCATCATAACGGCCAAACTCTAGGTGTGGTAGATTTGGGCATATAGAAGGGGTACCTTCAGGGAGTACCATTCTGGTGCAAGACTAGAACAGGGTGACCCACTGGTCCTTCCCCTGAACCTTTGTTTTAATCATTCATGGGATGAAGGCGTCACCGGCCAGGCCAGCATTTATTGTCTTTCCTTAATTGCACAGAAGTCAGTTAAGAGTCAACCACATTGCTGTGTGGTCTGGAGTCATATGTAGACAAGACCAGGTAAGGATGGCGGTTTCTTTCCCTAAAAGGCATCAGTGAATGAGATAAATTTTTCCAACATTCGAAAATTGATTCGTGACCCTACTTCCAGACTTTTATCAAATTCAAATTCCACCATCGGCCATGACGGATTCGAACCCTGGTCCCCAGAATATTACCTGGGTCTCTGGACTAACGGTCCAACAATAAGATCCTCTACATCCATCAACCTCAAGATTGAGGGCAGGCAGGAGGCGGCCCTGAATTGGCTGATAATTTACGACCTTAAGACCTCAGTTGGGTGAGGGCAGGCAGGCCACTCCTGCCTACTCCATGCAAAATTGCAGATAGATCGAGGGCAGGTAGAGGGAAGGCCACCTAGAGAATTTTATAAGCTGTCCCGCCTGCAAGCCTGCCAGAAAGCAACTATGAAATGCTGCCCATGATTCTATTTCCTTTAGCTGCAAATAAAATTTGATAGTCCAGCGTGTTTCTTTTTCCTCCCACATGTTGAGCATAAAAAGCCTTTTATTATTACCGATAACCTGTGTATGTGTCAAACGTGTGTGTTAATGCTCCTATTTTTCTGCTTCCACAGATTGAAAAATATCCCATTCAAGCTACAGATCACGGTGTTTCCACCAAAGGTATAAATTTTCTGACCCTAGAATACGCACGGGACAGATTTTTCCCCAATACAAAATTGAGACAACTATATTGCATCCTGTGTGTACTTTTAGTCAGATCAAATGCTGCCAATTTTTGTATGATGACCATGATATACAGCCTATGCCAGCAGAAAATTTGGTACCAAGGTCATAACATTTTAAGCGCTTTTATATTGCTAACCTTGAACATGTAATACATGCATTAGCATGTTTGTATGAAATTTCATTAGCTGTCCTTTTAACGAAGGTATTAACCTACTATTAAGGAAGTGGGCAAAACAATTTCATATGAGTACAGTAATGAACTTATTAATAATTGAGTATAGATTTCATCTTCAGTGGTTTCTAATCTTTCCATCATTAAGTTGCTCTTGATGAAGTCATCTTCAGTCATGATGTATCTTTGTGCCAGTCCTGACAAGTGTTCAAGAATAGCCCAAGGAAAACCTGAAGTTTTCTCCCTCCCTTTCTTTGAGAAGATATGCAGACTCTATTCCCTGTTTTGTCCTGATAACATGACACAGAGGTGAGGTACTGCAGGCAGAATCCAAACATAAGAAATGTGCTAGGACAAGTGAGGACAGATCACAGCCTTCCTCCTTTTTAATCTTCTGTTGGTCAGTCACAATAAATATCTTCGAATTTTTGCCTTTTTAGCATGTAGCTATCATCCTTCAGTCAAACTTAGTTAACCAGATTAAAAATGAAAGAGAGCCATACCAAGGTTCTTTTGAGTGAAACAGTGGACTTTTATTACCTGAAAAAAAGTGATCACAAAACACAGGTAATGAGCTTACAATGAAGGTGAGGGGTGAAGGGATAACTAGTACAAACTGAAATGAAAAGGCAGTTGTTTTAGCATTTAAGTTATGAGAGTGACACGTGAATCCCAATTGTTTAGTTGCTTTTCTGTTTCCTCAGTAGTGGTGAAGTGCAGATACCCTTGATTTCTCAGTCACCTGAGATCTTATAATGTTAATTGTTTTCACTGGCTCTCTGTTGAGATTTAGAGAGAGTGAGAGAAGAGCTTATTGTATGTTTGCTTCATTCAAACCATGTTGCGTTCTCTTTTTGTTTTTAATTGCTTAAAGCAAGCTACTGAAATACAGTTCATTTGTTTATTTCAAGTCCAGCTCCACAATCTTTTTCAAACTATTCATTTTACAGGTAACCTTTCATCTTCAGCATGTGAAGTTATCATGCAAATGTGAATAAAACTAAAGATACTCATTTTGTCACCCATAAATGAGTTTCAGTGTTTCTTGACTAAAATGGTAATTACAAGAGCCATTTTTTCTGTATTCCATGTCAGTCACCTGGACTTGTCAGGTAATCACATTTAGTTCATCAGTGTCCTTTTAAACAGCATGCAAGTCAAAAGATGAATGGTGAATATTGATATTTTCTTTATGATCATAAAAGATGTTAGAGCAGCAATAAATTTGACAGGTTTTTATGTCATTTCTTAGAAAGGAAAGTGAGCCTGGATACTTCCCCATGCAGGTATAGAAGTACAGACATTGTTTTTGTTAAGTAAGTTAGCAGTTTGGTGGTAGAGAATTGGTTGACAGGCTGAAAACAATGGGAATAAATGTGTCTTTTCCTGAATGGCCAGCAGTGATTAGTGATGTACCATAGCAATCAGTACTTGGGCCCCAGTTATTCACAATATTCAAAAAAGACTTGGATGAGGAAACCAAATGCAATATTTCCAAGTTTGCTATCAACACAAAACTGGGCAGGAGTATGAGTTTTGAGGAGGATGCAAGGAAGCTTCAGGGCGATCTGGACAAGTTGCATGTATGAGCAAAACACATGTCAGATGCTGAACAACTTGGACAAATGTGAAGTTATACACTTCAGCGTGAAAAAGAGAAAAGCAGAGTATTATTTAAATGTTTCATATTGGGAAATGTGGATGTGTGATGGGATCTAGGTGTCCCTGCACACCAGTCGATAAAAGTAAGCAGGCAGGTACAACAAGCAATTAAGTCAAATGATATCAGAGATAGTAGGAACTGCAGATGCTGGAGAATCTGAGATGACAAGGTGTAGAGCTGGATGAACACAGCAGGCCAAGCAGCATCTGAGGAGCAGGAAAGCTGACATTTCGGGCCTAGAAGAAGGGATTTTTCTGAAGAAGGGTCTAGGCCCAAAATGTCAGCTTTCCTGCTCCTCTGATGCTGTGTGGCCTGCTGTGTTCATCCAGCTCTACACCTTTTTATCTAAGACAAATGGTATGTCGGCCTTCATTGCAAGAGGATCTGAGTTCAGAAATAGGGATGCTTTATTGCAGTTAATCAGGACTTGGTGAGACTTTCCTGGAGTATTATGTGCAGATAAGGGTAAGGTCTCCCGACCTAAAAGGATATACTTGCATAAAGGGAATGCAGTGAAGATTCACTTGGCTGATACTGGGATGGCAGGGCAGTGGTATGAAGAATTATTGGTTCAAATGGGCCTGTATGCACTGGCGATTAGAAGAACGAGAGGGGATCTGATTGAAACATGTAAAATCATTACAGGACTAGACAGGCTAGATGAAGAGAGGACACTTTCCCTGGTAGGGAAGTCTAGAACCAGACAACACAGTTTCAAGATATGGTGTAAGCTTTTTAAGATGAGTTGAGGAAACATTTCTTGACTCAGAGGGTGGTCAACTTGTATAATTTGCTACCACAGTAAGTGATTCGTAAATGATTAGATATTAAGGGCATCAAGGGGTATGGAGAGAAAGAAGAAATGTGGCTTTGAGATAGAAGATCAGACATGATCACATGGAATGGCACAGCAGGCTCAAAGAGTTGAATGACCTACTCCTAGTTGTAGTTTCCATGTTTCTATGTTTCTCCTTTCATGACCTCAGGATGCCTCAAAGTGCTTTGCAGCTAATAAAGTACCTGTAACTTGTAGGCACTTGTAATGTGGGAAATGCAGCAGACAATTTTCACAAAGCAAGCTTTCTAAAGCAATAATGTGATAATAGCCAGACAATCTGCTTTCATGGTGTTGATTGTGGAATAAATATTGACTAATACACAAGGAATAATTTTTATTCTCTTCTTCAAAATAATGTCAAAGGATCTTTTATCTCTGCCTGAAAGAGCAGACAATAATGATTTAAAGTTTAGCCTAAAAGAATCCTTCAGTACTAAACTGGCTTGTCAGAATAGATTTTTACACTCAAATCGTTGGAGTGCAACTTAACTGACAAGTGCTACTGCTTGAGCCACAATTGACTTTGATTCTGGATAGGGCACGGACAGGTTAGTTTATACTGGGTCTGGTGGCCGCTATTCTTTCATCTCTGAGATCCAGGCTGACAATCCATACAAGATAATGACATGAATACAGAATGTTGTCTGTAAGAGACATTGTGACTGTGTTTGTGGTAGTTTCAGCAGAATTCTCAATTGGTGCAACTCAAACCCACCCTTACTGTGACAAGAATTTAAATATTCATTCTCAAGATATCGGTGCCATTGATAGAACCACTATTTCTTGCTCTTCACTGGATGCCTTGAGAACCACTTATCTGAGCTGCTTCTGCCCATGTAGTGAAGGTGTTCTCACAATATTGTAAGGTAGGGAGTTCCAGGCTTTTGACCCAATGACAAAGGAGAAATAGTAACATATATCCAAACTTTGATGGTGTGTGATTTGGTGAAGAAGTTGTAGGCTTGGGTGTTATTTTCAAAAAAGTTTTGGAATGTTGCTGCAATGTATCCAATGGGTACTATGCACTAAAAATTATGTATTGGTGGAGTTAAGGGATATGTTTGGCATTATAGATGGGCTACAGATCATGTGTGCTGCTTTGTTCTATAAATTGTTGAGTTTCATGAGTAGCAATCTTACTTATAAAGAGAGACCACAAAGGTGGCTAATTTGAGAAATAGAAAGGTCATATTGGCATGGGGGGGTGGGTGGTGGCCGGAGTTGGGTATTGTTTCTCTACCTAGCTAAAGGGATATTAACTCTGATTGTTTAACTCTTGGAGTAGCTGACTTGGGTGAACCCGATGTTGAAGTTTGGTACAAAAAATGGAAATGTTCCATTGAGAAACATAGAAACTGGGAGTAGCTGTAGACCATTCAGCCCTTTGGGCCTGCTCCACTATTCAATATTCTCTAGAGATTAGATCTCTATCTCAATGTCATGTTTCCATTTTGTCCCACACTCTTTGATCCATTAATTCCTGAATGATTATTATCTTGGTTAGCTATTTTACTTTCCTGCCCTGATGACTTGCCTTAGATCATTCACCTACAGCTCCACATGCAAATTGGTACACTACAATTCAGTGCATTAAAGAATGTGCTAAATGAAATGCTATCTGCCTATGAACAATGCAAAATCGTAGATCACAAGCATTACCTATTGCATTGTGGTGTCATTTAGCACTTATTATTTGGAGAATATTATCGCTTATCAGGAAATGCCCATTACCTGTTTAGGTTAATTAAAGTACTCAGTGCTTTATAGTAACTTTCTTTCAGTTATTAAACACTGATGTTTATCAATACCTACTAAAGCTCAATTAATTATGCTGACAGGTGTTTCAGATCTCCTAGTACAGGATACGACAACTGTTAACCTGGAACATTTAACTTCAGATCTTCAAACGACAAGACAGGTAGGAACAAGTTCATTTCAACTTTATTCCTTGACTTAGTTATGAGCTTTTGTGGAGATTAAGTTTCAAAGTATTCTGTCCTCTGTTTAACCAGCATTTTGAAAAGATTTTTTTTTAAATTTCTCTCGCTGTAACCACAATCACACCTAGGGTCTCATAAGAATACCACCTCCTTCAGTCTCTGAAGTAAGTTATTAAAAATTGGGTGGCTTCAAAATAGCTTTGTGTTGAGAATTTTAAAATAGCTAATTCAGCTCATTAAAGGCCCTTTAGCTCTTCAGCGTGCTGTGACATAGCAAGAGAGAAAGCAAAGTTGAGAGGTGGACTCCTTGAACTGCTTTCTTGCATTTCCTTGTTTCTGACTTGAGTGAAACTTGGGAATCCAATGCTCTTTCTCTTTGATTCAAAATAATTAATAAGAAAAGTGGTATCTGATCTTGAAGAGGCATGGATAAAGAAAATGTTTAAACCAATTTTCAATTTGTGACAGCCTATATATATGACAATCACATTCAAAAGACAGTTACCCCAATCTGGATCATCCCAGATTTCTTCTGTTTTCTTGCAATGGGACCTCCAGCATCGGGTGGTGAGGGCGAGAGAGGTCAACTTGAACAGTTGAATGGACTCTCTCACTGGTCTTTGGTAGAAACAGGACAAATGGGAAAGGAAAGCATACAAAGGAAAGTCTCAGGCCAATGTAACCAATACATTTCTTCCCTGTACATAATGTAAATAGTTCCTTATTTATCCTTAATTTCCCTTCATGCTTGAAATGACCCGTGCTAGTGAAATAAAGAACCCTTACTTCATGATCTTTGGGCCTTCCATGTGTTGAAATCACATGTTACATTCCGGGAGTAGTTGTTAGAATTCTACAAAACAAGCATCAAGTCATGGCGGATGAGGTTGAAAGACACCTGGGAAACATGGAATGGACGTAGAGAAGTTGAAACTAGTAATGTCCATGAGGGATGTTAAGGATGCTCCAGATCATCGGAGGCTCAGGTGTTGGCAGAGGGAATCAGACCTTAAGGCCAAATCGAGGCAGAGACTTCCCATCTGTGTTCTCTTGACGCAATGGAGGAAGGAAACTATACACCTAGTCAGATATTCTGCTTGCTAATGAGCAGTCAGCTGAATAGATTCAGCAGAAGGACTCGAAACACTTGATGATCTGGCAACTGAAGACTTGAAAACGATCCACATTGAGGACATGCTTGAGGACAAGAGTCCAGTGTATGATGAGGAGGCGAACAGTGTACTCAGCAGTGTTACAGAACCAAAGAGGTTAATCCGCAGCTACTGGTTTGACAATATAGATGTGGCCACCTGTGTCCAGCAGCACGATGACTCTTTGGGTTTCAGGGTCCCACACATTCTCTATCTTATTGTGACTCCTAATATTCTGATTTCAGAGGAATTCTCTTACACTCAATGAAGGTCAGTCTTGACAGCCTTGCGATTGGCCAATGCTTTTCTTCTCAGTGATTCTTTCTCACTCCCTTTGGGCACTATCTTGAATGCCTGGCTTAGCCTTGTACGGTACTTGGTTTACACTTACTCACCTGGCCATCCCCATGAGAAAATGTGGTGAGTTCAAGGAAATGGTCAGAGTGTAATAGCTCGAGTGCAAGTGTCGGTGCCATCTATTTTCAGTGGAGTACATTTACTATAGAGCTGGGGTCAAACTGAGCTTCAGAATTACACAAAATACTGTCCAATGTTTAGGATATTACAAAGGCACATGATTTCTTCTAGCCATGCATGACACCAACAGATCAGGAAAAATGTAAAATCAATTTTAAAAGGTGTATTCAGCAAAATGTTAGTAAAGGTATAGGCTACAGTTAAGCAACATGACATGACAGTGCCTTTTCACTACAGCCAGGTGTTGAACTGATGGAGTTCTTCAAATGTATAAATCATTGTTTAAATGTGACTAGAACTGTGGACTGTTCCAGCAGAGAAATGTGCTATTTGGTTAGTTCCTCTGGCTGGATAGACAATAATGACAGTTACACATTAATAAAAATATTTAGATGGGAGGATAGAAAAGGTGACATTACAAAGAGGATAGTTAAAATATGGAATTCTCTGCCACAACCTATTGTTGAAGCAGTGTACATTAATTTTTGTTTTAGACGGTTGTTTGAAAAAAATGAATAGCAAAATATTATGATAAGTGAAAAGGAAAATGTGTTTTGTTTTTAATTTAACCTACTTTTCTAGTCAATCTGTTCGAGGATGTTATTAGACACCTCTGGAGCAGGTATGACTTGAATCCAGGCTTCCCAGTCCATGGGCTTACATTACCACTGTACCACAAGAGGGTTTTAAACCAGACTTTTTCTGACAGGTATTTGAAGCAGCTGAGACTTGACCCCCAACCCCCTGGCTCAAAGGTAGGGGTTCTGCCACTGTTCTGCAAGAACCAGGAAAATGTGATTGAATAGGGTGATTCACACAAGGAGAAACACAGGGCAAAGTGATCTGTTTCTTGACCTGTATCTTTTTGTGAATTTATTATTTCTAACATTCCTTTAGTCTTCTTCCCACTCATGTAAAGACCATCCACAGCATGATCAGGTAAAGCAAAAAGAAAAATCATAACATAGGCTGATGTATATTTTATAACATACTTATTTTATGAGCACCATTGCACCAGAAATATAGATCAAAAATTTTGTCTTCTCACATATGACATAAATCAACTGTTAGCATCAAGCAATGTTTGTAAGGCATCAAAGGAAAAGGTCAAATCTTTTTGTGGCTGAGATGAAGACATATGAAATTTCTCAATTTCATTGCAGACCACTTGTGGAATAAGTTTAAATAGGGATAAAGAGCCAGTCATAAGGTATTATTGTATTAAACAATAATTGCTTGTATGCATTTTATTTACCTGAATTGCCTTGGAGGATTTCCCCTACTGATTCAGAGACAGATGGGGAAGGGTCTCTTGCATTTCAAAGTGGAATTAATCACAGATGATAATTATAATTTGAGTTTGTTTGCAAAAACCTGAATGATTTGATTTGATTTGATTTGGTTTATTATTGTCACATATACAGAGATACAGTGAAAAGTACTGTTTTGCGTGCTAACCAGACAAATCATATCTTACGTTAGTACATCAGGGTAATAGAGCTGAGCACAGAATATAGTGTTAACACAGTGTGGAGCTGGAGGAGCACAACCGGCTAGGCAGCATCAGAGGAGCAGGAAAGTTGACATTTCGTGTTGGGACCCTTCTTCAGAAATGGTATGGCAGTTGGAAATGAAGAGGTGGAGGGAGGTAGGAGGCCTTGGGGTAGTGTCCAGGAGGATGGGGTGTGTTGGAGGCAGGGGAAGGGGTCTGGACAGGATGGGTTAGACTCATGGTTAAAGAAATAGGCACGGAGGCAGAGGTGGCGGAAAAACTGTTCGACGTCCAAGCATAAATGATATTCATTGATGTGTGGGCTGAGGGGAATGAATGTGAGTCCTTTACTGAGGACTGACCATTCGTTCTCAGTGAGGGGGTGGTCTGGGAGGATGGTGAAGACCCAGCAGAGTTTGGGGCTAGGACTGGGTGTAGATCTGATGGCTGTGGGGTTGGAGTTAGGGGCAACATCGATGGTGGGTGGGGCAACGTTGCCATTGGTGGTGGGTGGGGTGACGTTGGCATCAGCGGTGAGTGGGGCAATATCAGCGGTGGGTGGATCAATGTCGGTGGATATGACATCATCCTTGATGTTGGCGGCGGGAGCGGCGTTGGCAGGGGCGTCCTTGATATAGGCGGCGCCCTTGGACTCGGCGACAGAAGCAGTGGTGTCAGCAGTGTGAGTGGCAGCTGCAGAGGCATGGTTTGTAGCACTGGAGGTGATGGGACCAGCGTTGGCGGAAGTGAAGAGATAGGGGGCGTTCAGCAGATGTTGCGATGGTGACCACATGGTCAATGGCACGAGGCACATTGTGGGGTAGGTCCTGGGTAGGTTTGAGCACTTGAGGGGTGGAAGTGGTCTGTGTTTGGTGGCAAGCACCAGTAAGTTTAGTGTACTTACAGTTTTTAATGTCAGATAGGGGGGAGTAAAACTGTAGGTTGAAGTTGTGGATCCTGCGAAGAATGAAAAACAGAAGAGGTCCTTTGCGGGTCTGGGAGAGGGAGGCTCTGAGCTGGGGTAGGCTTGAATGTAGGGCCAGAAGATGCCAGCGCATTGCTGAGAGCATGTGCTTGAGGATCCGCAGAGAAAACCGTGTTTGGAGGATCTGGATGTTTTGTATGTAGAGGTTGTGGTGGTCAGGGGCAAATTGGGATGGCCTGAATGTAGATTGCAGTCCATTGGGGACAATTCGGTTCCGTAGGCAAGTACTGAGAAAAGCAATGTGGCTGTAGTACCTGGTTGCTTCAGTATATGGTTGAGCAGTTTCAGGGCTGAAGAGATTACTAGAGGGTTGCAGTGGGAGAGAGATCCACTGAGGTCTTTTCAGAGGGAGGAGGATAACTTCTTCAAGGTAGGCATCCCTAGAAGAGGCTTCGCAGTGAGGTTATAACTCACTCAGAGATAGTAAAAATTGCCAATGCTGGAGTCAGAGATAACATAGTGTGGAGTTGGAGGAGTGCGTGGGCCAAGCAGCATCAGAGGAGCAGGAAAGTTGACGTTTCAGGTCAGGACCCTTTTTCAGAAATTTCTGAAGAAGGGTCCTGATAAAGAAGGGTCCCGACCCGAAACGTCAACTTTCCTGCTCCGCTGATGCTGCCTGGCCCACTGCACTCCTCCAGCTCCACACTGCATTATCTCTGACTCCAGGATCGGCAGTTCTTACTACCTCTTACAGAATATAGTGTTGCAGAGAAGGATCAACTCTAATATATGGGAGATCCGTTCATAAGTCAGATAACAGCGGTGAAGAAAAAGATGCATTTGTGCTGATCTTGTAGCAAGCCTGCTGAAAATAAGACCTTTGTTTTAAAGTTATTAGCTTGTATTTTTGTTCAAAAGTATTTTCTCCTTGCTTCAGGTCCATGTTATATGTTTTTACTGTGATGTTGCCCTCACTGAAATGTACTGTATTTTACTGCCATACAGCCTGAAGAGAGTGACAGCCAACACACTGAAGGAGAATGTTTATCAGAAGAAGGTAAAATGAGCCATTTCTACAGTTAATTGTCATAACTACAAAAGATGGTGTTATTTGGGCTAAATTACAGGTCAGTCTTATCAAATATTATTTGACAAATATTAATTTAAATGTAAAAGTGCAGTTCTTTTTGAACCAACAGCCTTTTAATTTTTTGTTATCCTGCAGTTTTGTTTCTTTCAGTCTAGGTTTGGGTATTCATTCATAGATCTCTTACACTAACCAGTGTTCTGATTTTCCCAACCATTCTGCTCAAATCAAGAGAAATATGGCAATGCCATATACAAAAACTCTGTTTCTTAATGTTACTTAACAATTTCTAGAATTTCCCTGGGACAGAATAGTTCTTTTGCAGATCCAGCAATGGCATGAAGAACAGGTAGGAGAGGACATCACATTCCCCATTCAGATTTGCAGCGGTGAGGTGTCCAAATGCAGAGGGACCAGAAAGCTCTAGCATTGGACCTGGGATCCAATGGAATTATTGGATCATCCCTCAGACTAGAGGGTTTAATAGAACCCAGCAAAGTGCCAAAGTGCTTCAAGGTTGGTTTTAAAATAATTTTGCAGTACAGTCAACTGTAACCACAAAACAATCAATTTAACCTTGGTGGTGGGAAAACTTTAAGAAACAATAACCCAGGACAAAGTTAACAGCTATTTGGAAAAGTGTGGATTACTCAATAAAAGCCAGCACAGATTTGTTTTTTCTTCTAAATTGATTCGTGGGATGAGGACATTGTTGGCTAGGCAGCATTTATTGCCCAGAGGGCGTTGCTGTGGGTCTGGAGTCATATGTTGGCCAGACCAGCTAAAGATGGCAGTTTCCTTCCCTAAAGGACATTAGTGGACCAGATGGGTTTTTTCCACCCCACCCACAATTGGCAATGAATTCATCGTCATCATTAGACTCCTAATTCCCGATTTTTATTGAGTTCAAATTCCACCATCTGCAATGGTGGGATTCAAACCTGGGTCCCTGTAACATTAGAGATAGAGGAACTGCAGATGCTGGAGAATCCGAGACAACAAGGTGCAGAGCTGGATGAACACAGCAGGCCAAGCAGCATCATAGGAGCAGAAAGGCTGACATTTCGGGCCTAGACC